ATCTGTTGCTTGATATGAAGAAAAACAGAGGTCGGACAGGCCGGAAGAGAAGAAGAAAACACTCGCAGAGTTTTGTGGATGGAGGTACTATCCCTGAAAGTTAAACAATAAAATAAACCAATTGCTTTTCAAGGTATCTTTCTATGGTTTATATTTGCAAACACCTTTGTGTTTTTTTGCTCTCAGGCACGTGGTAGGATTGTTGGGATTGCCCTGGGCAGGGCCAGGAGTTGAACTCAATGGTCCTGATGTGTTCCTTCCAACTCAGGACGTTCTATGATTTGCAAAAACCTCTGTGTTTTGAAAATGATATTAATAAATGTTACATTTTTTTAATATGCAAATATTGTAGCATTAGTTTGCAGTCACCAGCACGGCATGGTGAGTACTGTGAGCTCTCTTTTCTGGCTCCTGACAAGTACTACATTATTCTTAAATTCCTTGAATATGCTGAATAACTCACACAATTCTGAGACCTCCCAGTAACCAGAGGCCCAAAATTTAGTTGGTTAGTTCTAGGGCAGCCTTTCTCGCTATTTTTTTATGCTTTAAAATGTCTTAAGATTTGCTTGTCTGACTATACAGTGAAATTTTTTTATTTCCTTTCTTTTCCAACAGGAAATTATAGCCTTTTATAGAATTAATTTTTTTTTAAATTTATTTTTAGTGAACTGCAGTCACAAGCTGGAGTACATTAAACTTAAGAAGTGGCTAAAAGGCAGAGGATTTGAAGACAGTACGTTAAGGCCAGCAGAGTTCAGGGGTAATGTTTTAATTCTTTTATTGATGGTACAAATTTCTGATTCTTCTGAGAACGGTAGATTCCTGATGTAAGTTTTTTTACACCTGGGTGGCATCAGGAAAAAAGCCAGTTACTGTTAGTCTTCTGAGGATTTTTGGCAAATGCACATGAATCTCAATTTAACAGAAACAAAAGTTGCACACCTATGCTGAATTCCTGGTAAAAGCTGAAATTTTAAGTGTTAGTAGCACAGTTTTAAAGAAGTGTTTCTGTGTTTCCAGCATTGGAACCTAACCTTGTTATCATTTGTTCATCTTTTTTTTTTTCCTCAAGCAAGTTCAGCAGATCTAGTGATACACATAAATTCTTTTAGAGCTGGGATTCACTTAGTAATGTTTACAGTAAAGGTATATACTTGTATTTTTTTCTCTTTAAGTAGGTTATGTTTCCAAATTTTTTGCAATATTAATAGAGAGTAGAAAGAATAGAATGAATCAGAGAAAAATATTGTGACTGGAAATTATAAAGTTCAGTTGAAACTCTGAAACCAAGAACTGCAGCTGGTGATGATAGATATGTTTGAAGAAAAAATTGAGAAAAACAAGTGGAATAATTGCTAGAACTGGGAGCAAAAGGAGTTGAGTAATGGCTAGAACTGAACAGCAAGTGCTGCAGGGGATGCAGGGAGAGGATCCTGAGAAATAAAGAGAGATGGAGAACAAAAAAATTAAATATATGTATGGAACAACCCATAACTGGCTTTTATGATTTGGAAGAGATAATGTCTATTCTTGTAGAACTTTTCCTTGCTGACCTGATCACAGATTCCTGATTTCACATGTATACATGTATTTATTTGTGCTTTTTGTTCCTGCCTCAGAGACAGGAAGAGGACTGATGGCAACAAAAGCTCTTCAGGTCAGTGATGTTTGTCCTACTGCAGCATCTCCTCAGGTTCTTTTGAGGTGGAATGAGTTTTTGCAAGAAGCAAAACTTAGAATTCCAGACAAGGAATTCTGTTGTGAATGTAATTTCTGGCCTCTGACCTTCACTTTGAAGCTTTTGTGTTGGTAGATTAATTAATAGGAACATCATTTCTCAGGCATTCCCAGCAGAAAAAGGGAATAATAGAAAAAAATTCCTTGCCCTGTGGATATTGGAACTCTGACTGAAAAAGCCTCTTGGAAAATAGGTTTGTTGGAGAGGTTTCCTAAGTGGTGTGAGGATAGTAAATGAAATAATGGTGAATCAGAGCCAGGATCTTTGGCAGAACAGGGAGCAAAGCAAGGGGTGGGAAGGAGATGCAGTGGCAAAGTCCAGTGCAGAGGACAGTGTGTGTTCTCATCCTGCTCAGGTGGAGACCTCAGAAGCCAGAGGTTTGCCCCAGTGCTGGGAGCCTGCAGTGGGTGCAGAGCACTGAATCCAACTGGGCTGGAACAAGGCAGGGAAAAATCAGGAGCTGAATGGGAAGAGCATTGCCTGGATCCATGTGCTCTCCCTGCAGCAATGGGCACACGTGGCTCCAGCCAGGCATGAAAGCTGATTTACCCCCAGCAGCCTGGCAAGCAAGGTCAGGGCAGACATGACCTAAAATATCCCTGCCACGTGCTGCTTGTTGGTGGAAATTCAGCTGTTTGTGAGACCTGATCTAGAATATATCTCAGTGCAAAGAAAGGGAGGGGCCAGGCACAGACTTTCTGTGAACAGTGATGGTTTGTACTGGCTGCAATTGTCCTCCTTCCCTGGGCTGGGACTCTTCAAACCCTCCCAGTTCCCGTGGGAGTATGAAATGAGTCACCTACACTTGACTTCTACTGTTCTTTGTGTGTGATTATTGTTTTTTCCCTTCCCTCAAAGGCAGGGGATCTCATTATTTCACTACCTGAGAAGTGTTTACTCACCACAAGCACTGTCCTTAGGAGCTGCCTGGGAGGATACATTAAGAAGTGAGTGAAAAGTGACACCTGATGGACAAGTTGACCTGAAGTGTGGGTTGTTCATTAGTAGATGAATCATCTGAAGTGGTGGGAGAGCTTTAAACTGCATTCCCTGAGTGGTAACTATTTCTTGTGGCCTTTCATGAGTGTGGAATGCTCAGATAGGAAAGGTTTGGGCTGAAAACATCCCCTTTTAGCTCAGCAGACTAAAGCACAGACTGGAACTTGGCCTGCCTCAGAGCCAGCTTGGACCTAAATGTCACTTAGGAATGATTTCTTGGGAATTTGTGAATAAGCTTCAATAGGAGAAGGAAGATAAAAAGGGGTTGCAGAGCAGTCACATGAACATGACCTTTTAGAAAATTCAGAACAAAGTCCTATGCTGGACATTGAGTCCTTGTATATCCTAAAAAACCCCACTCCACCCCCAAAAAAAAACCAACCCAAGGGGTGAACCTGAAGTTGTTATTCCAAACCAGCTTTTATTGCCCCCTTTGAAACCATCCAAAGGGCTTGGAGATGAACTACAAAGCAGTTTAAAATAGAAGCTTTTCATGACATCTAAAAGAACCCTTGGAGAGATAAAACACCCAATTCCCATCTCACCTCTGAGTATCTGCTGGGTTGGTATTTTTATTTTTCCTTTCTTTTCTGATAGCTGGAAGCCTCCTGTATCCCCTTTGATGGCACTGTGCACGTTTTTAATAGCAGAGAGACATGCTGGACAGAAATCCCCCTGGAAGCCATACCTGGATGTTCTCCCCAAGACTTACACTTGCCCTGGTTGTTGGGAACATGATGTAGTGACCCTTCTTCCAGAACCTTTAAGAAAGAAGGCTCAGGAGCAGAGAACAACCATCCACGAGCTGTATTTGTCTTCCAAGGCTTTTTTCTCTTCCCTGCAGCCTTTGTTTGCTGAGGACACAGGAACTATTTTTACCTACAGTGCTTTGGAGTGGGCTTGGTGCACTATTAATACCAGGACAATATACATGAAACATCCACAGAGGGAATGGTTTTCTCTGGAGCCAGATGTTTATGCACTGGCACCGTATTTAGATCTGCTAAACCACAGTCCAAATGTTCAGGTGAGAAACTAAAAATAGATCACTTGATTTCTTTATTTGCAAATGCACTGTCTCAATACAACAGGCATTTATGGGATGGATGAGGAGGGTGTGGAGGTCAGGGAAGGATCTCCCAGTGGGAAAGATGTCAGTTTGGGAGCATGTAAAGGGTGAGGACTCACGGGTCATAAATACACTGGAGTTTGTTCTTCAGCCCAAGGCAGTTGAATAAAGATAATTGTGGTAAAGATCAGCAGGAGCTGGAGTGACAGGACAAGGGGCAAAGGCTTCAAACTGCCAGAGGGCAGGGTTAGATGGGATATTGGGAAGGAATTGTTGGCTGTGAGGGTGGGGAGGGGCTGGGATAGAATTCCCAGAGAAGCTGAGGCTGCCCCTGGATCCCTGGAAGTGTCCAAGGCCAGGTTGGATGGGGCTTGGAGCAACCTGGGCTGGTGGAAGGTGTCCCTGCCCATGGCAGGGGGTGGCACTGGATGATCTCTGAGGTCCCTTCCAACCCAAACCATTCTGGGATTCTGGGATTCCACAATTCAAATTCAGTTCATGCAGCAACAGGGAGAGCCCCTGGGTGAGATTTGCACCCAGGGGAGCTTTTGGGAAGGGCCATTTGTAGACATAACCCTGCTCTGCTTCCCTAAAAGGCTCAGCTCCTGCCACAGATTCCAAGTTACACAGTCCCTGTGTTACTTCACCTCTCCCTGAAGCTTCTGAGCAGCCTTAGGGAAGTGTGGAGAGCAGTTCCACCTTCTGCCAGGGACTGAGAGCCAACACAGAGCTGGGACAACACAGGAAGGGCCAACTCTGCACAAAACCATCTTTATTTGTAGATTTGGAGCCTCTCTAATAAATCTGCACAGTGGGTGGCACATGCTGCAGGCCAGGGCTTTGATCTTAGTTCTTCACACTCATGGGCTGCCTTCTCAGACCTCTGAAACACTTTTCTTCCAGTGTTAGAGAAATGTTCACTACTTTTGGATCTTAATATTCGAGGTTTGGTTCCTTTTTTCACCCTGCCAAGAGCAAAACCTTTTCTCTTTTAACTCCACCTAGGTAAAGGCTGCATTTAATGAGCAGACAAGGAGCTATGAAATTTGGGCAAATTCCCAGTGCAAGAAATATGGAGAAGTTTTTATCTGCTATGGACCTCATGACAATCAGAGGCTACTCCTGGAATATGGATTTGTTGCCATGGATAACCCTCACAGCAGTGTTTATGTCTCATCAGGTTGGATTTATAAATTGTCACTGAAAGCACTTCCAAGTAGTGGAATAGGCTGTGATACCTCTGCATAGAAATTAAGGATTGGAGTTTTAAAATTGAAAATGCTCTTTGTGAACATTTTCTTTTACAAAGTTGTGATTCCTAGCAGAATCTATGTAGAAATTCCAACTGGATGTCTAAGGTTTTACCATTGACTTGAGGATTGAAGTCCTGATCCTCACAAACTGAAGTTGCTGAGGGTGGTTCAGAACTTCAGTTTGAGTCAGGATTTTTGCTTTAAGGACACAAAAAGCACTTTTGTTCTGTGAAATTTCACTAAATTGTAGCAGGTTTTTTTGTTTGTTTGTTCCTTTCAACCTTGAAAAATATGGTTGCAGTGTTATTTCAGAATTGATGATTGTGCTTTATTCTATGTGGCATTTCTTTAAATATCTAAAATGTATTTTTTATGCAGATACTCTCCTCAAATATCTTCCACCACTGGACAAGCAGAGAAAGGCAAAACTATCCATTCTAAAGGATCATGATTTCCTAGAGTAGGTATCTGGAGTTCTTTGTTTCCTGATGAGCTTTCTTTTCAGTATTTTCTGGGAGGCAAATTTTGCTTCTAGTATCAAAATCCTGCAAAAAATGATTATTTGGGTTGGTTTTTTTTTTAACAAACTAATATGCTTGTGAGAGGATGTGGAAGTTGTAAACACCAGTATCAAAGCTTGAGATCTCCCCTTGTCAGGAAGAAAACTGTCACACTGTAAAAGCTCACTTATACTTTGTTATCACTTTGGACTTTTTAGAAACCTGACCTTTGGCTGGGATGGACCATCTTGGAGACTCCTCACAGCCCTCAAGTTGTTAAGCCTTGGAGCAGATGAACTGTAAGTTTTAGCACTCAGAGTGTTTAGTCCTTGTGCCATTTTCTTCTGTTTCACAGAATCACCAGGGTTGGGAGAGACCTCCAGGATCATCCAGTGCCACCCTCACCCAGCACCACCAGGATCACCCCCAATCCATGTCCCCAAGGGCCATATCCAGACACCTCTGGGACACTCCCAGACACAGGGACTCCACCACCTCCCTGGGACACTTATTCCAAGGCCTGACCACTCCTGCAGGGAAAAATTGTTTCTGATCTCCAATCTGAGCCTGCCCTGGGGCAGTTTGAGGCCATTTCCTCTCCTCCTTTCCCTTGGGACATGGCAGCAGAGC